CCTGGGGGGTCCCATCCATGGGGGTCCCAGCCCTGGGGGTCCCCAATCCCTCTGTCCCCTGGGGTCCCATCCCTGAGGGTCCCACCCTGGGGGTCCCCAACCCGCTGTCCCCAGATGTCCCCACCCCGGGGCTCCCCACCCTGGGGGTCCCCAGCCCCTCACCCTTGGGGGTCCCCACCCCTGGGGGTCCCCACCCCGGGGGTCCCCACCCTGGGGGTCCCCATCCCTCCCCTGTCCCCTCACCCTTGTGCTTGTCCTGGGGGTCCTTGGGGTCCTCGGGGTCCTCGGGGTCCCCGTGGTCCTCGGGGTCATCGTGGTCCTCCTCCTCGTGGGCCTCGTGGTCGCCATGGCGACGGCTGTGGGCCCAGTGATGGTCAGGCTGGTTGCTATGGAGATGGCCGTGTTTGCTGTGGTCCCCATGGTGGTTGCCATGGTTCCCGTAGTGGTTGCCATGGAGATGGCTGTGGTGGTTGCCGTGGTGATCCTCAAAGTGGTTGCCGGGGAGGCGGCTGTACTTGCTGTGGTCCCCGTGGTGGTTGCCATGGTTACCGTAGTGGTGTGACCGTGGTGGTTGCCATGGTCGCTGGGCTTGCTGTGGTCGCCATGGTGACCGTGGTGGTTGCCATGGTCGCTGGGCTTGCTGTGGTCGCCATGGTGACCGTGGTGGTTGCCATGGTCGCTGGGCTTGCTGTGGTCGCCATGGTGACCGTGGTGGTTGCTATGGAGGATGCCATGGGGCTTGGCGTGGTCGCTGAGCTTGCTGTGGTCGCCATGGTGACCATGGTGGTTGCCCACGGGCCTTGCTGTGGTCGCCATGGTGACCGTGGTGGTTGCCATGGAGACCCTCATGGTGGTTGCTATGGAGGATGCCGTGGGCGTTGCCATGGTCACCGGCCTTGCTGTGGTCACCGGCCTTGCTGTGGTCGCCATGGTGACCGTGGTGGTTGCCATGGAGACCCTCATGGTGGTTGCCATGCTTCTCGTGGTCACCATGGTGACCATGGTGGTTGCCATGATGGTTGCCGTGGTCGCCATGATGGTTGCCATGGTTGCCATGATGGTTGCCGTGGTGGTCGCCATGGTCACCGTGGTGGTTGCCATGGTTGCCGTGATGGTCGCCGTGATGGTTGCCATGCTTGAGGTGGTGGTCGCCATGGTGGCCGTGGTCGTTGCCGTGGTCGCCGTGGTGACCGTGGTGGTCGCCATGGTGGTTGCCATGG